CACAAGGATCTGAACAAGAAGCAGTCATCACAGGGAGAACACATCCCTCACCATCTTCGGGCAAAGTGCCAATCCATATGGGCCAATGGGCTTCCAGTTCCCCTTCTTCCAAGCGCCAGGAAGTTTTCACATTTACTTGATCCTTTTTGTTTTCCTAAGCACCGTTTCTGCTCCAGAACATTCTCTGGCTCCCAGGTGTCTGAGGCAGCACCTGCGGACCCACCTTACCTGTGCACTGCACCCTCTTTCCCACACTGCCATCCCCATCTCTCAATCTCTCACTGGGTGCTGAGCACTCCGCTAGAGTGTCATCTCTTCCCCTGTAGGGACCCCCTCCAACTCGTCTGTCAGGTGCTGCTCCCCCAGGAAGCCTCCTGACTCACTCTCGCATTCTGCCATCTGCTCTGCCTGATGAGCACTACTGCACGCACGGCCGACTCCTGTGTGACCTGTGTGAAGACATTTTACCTTTTAAACAGCGCTCGTGGCTTCTTGTGAGTCAGGTTCAAGCCCACCTGCCTGGGCCCGGCCTTCCTGCTTGTCACAACTTCTCACACCTGGCTGTGCACCCAGTCTCCACCCTCTCCCACCCAGGCGGTCCCTGGGATGACCCACTGGCCACACCTGGGGACACAGGCTCTCAGTTAAAGCTCCTGTCTTTTCTCTGCCTCAAGCGCTGCAGGTGCCCTCTTGCCAGGAGGCCACAAGCCAAGTCACTCCTCCACAGTCTTTTTATTTGGCTTCAATGTGACTTACAATTTAATAAGCGTCATTTGATGAATCGAAGGTCAACATATTCAAAACGTCACTCCATGTGGACACTGTGAAGCAAAGTGACCCCTTGGCAAACAGACTGCCACCAGAGCCAGGAGCTGAAGGGCTGCCCCAGGCCTTCTCCACTGCACAGCCTGAGAGGCTGGGCGCCACGCGTGGAACCAGCTCCAGCAAAGCTGCTCCCTGCAAGCAGAGGCCCAGGCCCACTCCTGACTCGCACCCATGAGTCAGTTCACCATGGCCGTGCCCATCCCAGCCTCTGCTTGGGAGGCTCGGACCCCTCACGGTGGCACTAGACCCACTTTGCTCATCATTAAGGTCTCAGGATGAAGGGTATGGGGGAACCTTCTTGAACCCTGAACACAGCAAGACCTACATGCCCCGAGCTCTCTGGGTATTCCTGCGTGTCTGTATTCCCTGCAGGTGTGTAAAGTAAGACTCCCAAGAGCAGGTACCACAGCCATGGCCTCTGCATGGTGCATGGCACACAGCAGGTGCTCCAGGGGTAATGATGATGTGCTCCAAGGAGCACTGAGCCCACAGATGCCAACCAGATCTGGCGACTCACCTTGATAGAAGCATGCTGGGTGGGGTCTCTGGTCCAGCCCCCAGTAGAGTATGAGGCATGGGTATGGAGGGCACAGGATTCTCCCTGTCCAGACCAGGTATGGAAGGCTGTGAGCATGCCTTTTTTCCTCCCCACACTGCCCTCCTGGTGTCACTGTCCCCACCCAGTGGTGTGGCCTAGTATGCTCGGAAATGCCATCCAGGTGAGATGACAGGTGCTACAGTGACCCACAATACCCAACCCACAACAGGAACAGGCAGCTGGCTGAAGAGGTCCATTTTGGGAGCCCCAGAGCCCTGGTGACAGAGTGGCCACGTGAATCCTCAGGGCAATTGGCCCCTCAGTAGTTTATCTCTAAAATGGGGACATGATGACTTGGATCCCCAGGATCTTGTAAAAGTCCCTTGTCAAAGGAGATGAGAAGACACACTATTGAAAATTATGTACATGGATTCTGTTGTTATATCTTAAATTGCTTTTGTAGCAAATCTCATGTGGACTAATAGCAAAGAATCAATATTTACTGAACACTTCCAACATGCCAGGCACTAAAGGACCCTGTTATGCAAACTGCTCATAGAATTTCCACTACAAGCCTCGGAAATGGGTGCTGTTCCTGTCTTCCAGGGTACACGCACACCACAGTGGATCTCCTGTACATCCAGGCATAGTAACCCACGACAGACAGTTCTGCCTGGACGGAGGATGGACATGAACCCCATCTCTCAAGTCTTCACACTGGAGACCCTCAGGATGACACCAGCTGGGATACTAATGGCAGCAAAGACAGGAGCACAGTTTGACATACGCACTTGGCCCTATGTGCACTTATACTTACCATGTACACTCAGCTGCTTCTATGACAGATGGGTGGCTCTCCTCAGAGGCCCTCTCCTCTGGGCTGTTACTGCCAGGGTGCTCAGGTGAAGACGCTAAAAGGCCAGCTGTGATCCCACCACCCAAAGGCCAGGGCCCCACATGAGAGCTTGTATCAAAGTCCAAACACAGGGATTTAGCTCAGTGGCACCGCGCCTGCCTTGCAAGCTCAAGGTCCCGAGTTCAATTCCCGGTACCAAAGAAAAAAAAAAAATCCAAACACAGAAACACCTGGGCAAATAAGATTCCCAGCCCCATGTGTGAATGGCGACCATGGCCAGGTGCCATCCCAAGTGATCTACACATGCCATTTCATTCAGGTCCCCAAGAGGAAGGTCCCAAGTGCTGAGGTGCTAGCATATCACAGGGCCTGCAATAACAGAGCTGAGATTCAAACCCACAAAGGGGACTCTGCTCATCAAAGATGAGATAGTTTTCAACAGCTTTCAATATGTCTGGAACTGTTCTGGCCCTGGGGGCCCAGAAGGGAACACAGCAGAGCTAGTCTCTGCTCTCATGGGGGACTCCAGAGACCCAGCAGTAATGACTGGTGTCTATTCTCTCCCTAAGGACACTAGCTCCTTTCAGAGGGACACTTCCCTGTCTGGGTCCTTGGAGTTCACTGTTGGCATGAAGTGCAGCAGAATTCCTCATGAGAAAGCAGTCTGAGTTAGAGGCTAAGAGGTCTCTTTGATGTGACATCACCCAGCAAAAACCAGGTCACACAGGCTAATCAGCTACCAAAGGGAACCTGCATCCCACACTTGTGTTTTAGAAAATTAGAAGCTGCCTCTGAACCTCACTTTCTTCATTCTACCCATTTTGCACAGAGTGGGTTTGATGGAGTTTTTAAGCACAGAGCTCAAAGTGGAGGCACAAAAATGTAACACTGTCCCCCATCAAGTGGTGATAGTACACCTGAAGCTTTGGCAGCTTTCTTTCGGCTGGCGCATGTACTGGTAGATACAGATGTAATTACACTAGACTCCACTGGGGATTTCCAGACACAGGGTCTCTCCAGGAACCTTTATGACCATCTTTTACAGAAGCTGTAAGGTTGGAGTGTGGCCCATTGGTAGAGTGTTTTCCTTGCATGTGTGAGCCCTTGGGTTCCACCCCAGCACCAAAAAAGAAAAAAAATACACACACACACACTCACACACGTGCGCACGCACACACACACACACACACACATATACATACTATTTGGGGATAAATCATAGTAGCCACTCATATTTACCATGTGTCTACTATATGTCAAAGCCTATTTATTAATGACCTCTGATCCTCATTTTGCAAATGAGGAAAGTGAGGCAAAGAGAAACTTAGTAATTTTCCCAAGGTAGAGTGGGCAGGACTCCTTTCCCAGGGAGTCCATCTCAGGAATCTGGGCTCTTAGCAACCTCTTCCATTAGATCCAATCAATTTGATTCCATTACAATACAGTCTTCAGGCTCCAGAGAGATCGAGGCACCTAAGGCCCCTGAATTGACCACAGCCAATTTGCACTTGGGCCTGGACCTCTGACCCCAGGCCTCACACCTGCCACTTCTAGATCCCTAGGGCTCAGTCTAGCTGAACTTCTGCCCAGGGCCTGTTTCTCTCAGCTCCCCCATCCCCATAAGCTGGTGCCCCATGACCTGTAGGTTCTATAAATGAAGAGAGGCTAAGGCAGGAGGATCACAGGTCAGAGCCCAACTTGGGCAACTTAGTGAAATTAAAAAATGATTTTTTTTAAAAAAGGGGGCTAAAGGGGCTGGGGATTTATCTCAGTGGTTCCGCTGCCTGCCTCACAAGCACAAGGTCCCGAGTTCCATCCCCGGTACCCCCGCAAAAAAGGGGGGCGGCTAAGGATGTAGCTCAGCACAAATGTTCAGAGCTCAACCTCTAGTATGGGGAGCAGATGGGGTGAGGGTATGGTGCTGGGGAGCAGCAGGGAGCGTGCCCATCCCCAGAGGTGGCTCCGCTTCCGCCTCAGCCACGGGCTGGCATATGCCCACCACATAAGGCCCATTTCCTCAGAAACACTGGAAACCCACATTTTCATATGAAATTGCCTTATTCTAAAAGGCTGCCATTTAATTCAATTTCCTTTTTTAACAGGTGGGCCCAATAATCACACCTGTGGGCAAAATCCAACCCCCACTGTCCCCCATTTTCATCCTCTGCTTGAGAAGTTTCATGAATGGGAAAGGACATTAGAGGGACTCAGACACTGAATTAGGACTGCCTATGAGCCAGGGGCTGCACGAAGCTCTCTCCTTAAAGCTGCACAGCAATCCTGCTTGTAGACCAGAAAACAAGCTCAGAGAAGGGAAGTGAGCAGCCCATGGCTACATAGTGGGTGGGCAGGAAAGCCAGGACTGGGACCCGGAAGCCCTAGGTTCTCTCCATGTGCCACTCTGCCCCTCTCCCCTCCTCTGGCCCGAGCCCTCACCCTTACTTGGCCTGGTTGTTCCAAGTCTGCCTAGTGGAGTGTGGGGCGGGCAGGGGTCCAAATGGCCCCACTTTGGATGGGCCAGCAGGGCAGAGGTGCGAAGGAGAGCCTTCTTCCGCCTCCTCTGACTCAGGGCTAACTCTGCTCTGACACACAACCTGGCCTCCAGCATGACCTAGTAATAGAGCGAAGCTGAGCTATGGACAGTGGGAACCAGCGGCTGCTGCCTGACTCACTGGGTAGTAGATCTTGGCGGGGTTACTTCGGCTTTCAGAACCATGGGCCCCTGAGTCCAAAGAGAAGGAGCTGGCTTACCCATTCTACTTCCATACTGACTGATTCTGATCAGTCAGTCTCAATGCAGACCAGCAGTAGGCTGGACTGCTCCACCTCAGTGTTCTCACCTGTGATGCGGGCAGTAAAAGTCCCGCTTCACCCATCCAAAGTGAACACAGGATACAATGATGTGTTGTCACACTTCTCCATAACCAAGAGACGTTCAATAAAGGCCTTTACTCTGATGTCATCCCTGCCCATCGACTGTCACCTCTTTCCTCCCCTCCTTCCAGAACACATGGGTCAGACCCTGAACCATACACCAGGGGCAAAAAAAAAGTCAAAACCCACACCCGTGACAGTGGGAGGGATGTGAGGACCTAACACTCACCAAAGTACAAGCACCTCCTGTGGGAAACTATACCTGCTCCTTGACATACAAGGGGGTTAAGGCAACCAGCCCAGATGTGAGTCTCAGCTCTGCCACTGACTGTCTGGGTGACCTTGGACAAGTTACTTCACCTCTCTGAGCTTCAGTTTCCTCTGTCAATAGTAACTAAAGAGATCACTAGCACAGTAAACGGAATAAAGATGCTCCTCAATTTACAGCGGGATCACATCCCGAGATGACCATTGTACACTGAAAATATTGTCAAGTTGAAAATGCACTAGTACACCTAATTTACCAAACACCACAGCTTAGCCCAGCATGTCTTAACCTCAGCCTACCATTGGGCAAAATAGTCTGCCAGCCTATTTTATAATGAATTGTGTAGGATCTCATGGAATTGACTGAATTCTGCACTGAAAGCAAAAAACACAACGACTAAACTTTTGCACCATCATAAAGTTGAAAAATTGTTAAGTGGAACCACCATAAGTCAGGGTCTGTCTGCAGAGAAACCATAGGATTCCAATTCAGAAAGCTATGGCCCTGAATCTTCTATTCTTAGCTGAATAAAAGAAGGTATCTCTCATCCAGTCTCCTGCCTATCCGTGAATCTTCTACGTAGCCCAAGTATCCTGGTGCTTTTTTCTGTAATGAACAAGTACTGAACTTCTAATACTGTAGCTGCTAAGCTCAATCCTAAGGGCTTTCCAGAGACAAACTCATTTAATCCCCATGACGGCCCTGGGAGCCAGGCACTATGTCTTCTTTTTTTTTTTTCACTTTCTTAAACTTTATTAAAGAAAAAGGTAATCGTGGCAGTAAATCTTTAGAACATAGTCAATTTTCTGGGATTCCTCCCTCCAAAATGAGATTTGATTTCCAAGTACATGCCAGAAGTATATAGTTCCCAACTGTACTAAGTAGGTAAGAAGCAGAAATCTAAAGTGTTCATCTTCCAACTTTCCCCAGTCTGTGGTCTGTCTTTGTTTTTTGTTTTGTTTTGTTTTGTTTTTTAGCCAGGGATTGAACTTGGGACCTTGCACTTTTGAGGCAGGCAGCGGAACCAGTGAGCTAAATCCCTGGTCCCTGTGGTCTGTCTTTGGATCAGCAATAATTGCCTGAACAGCTACTATGGCTTCATAAATTTTTGTCTGGAGCTCTCTGAGTTCTACATGCAGCAATCGCAGAATTTGAGCAGCTTCATTAAGAACTGCATCTCCTGTGTCAAAACCAAGAATATGTTTGTCTAAAGCAACAGGCAGGGCCGGAGATTTAGCTCAGTGGTTCCATCGCCTGCTGTGCAAGCGCAAGGACCCAAGTTCAATCCCCAGTACCAAAAATAAATAAATAAATAAAGCAACAGGCAAACTCTCTTTTGTTTGATTTGCTTTAGCAACTGTGTCCAGTGTTAGGCGCTCCTGAACCAAAATGCGAATTGCCTTAAGCATTACCAGGTAATCATCATGGTGCTGAATCTGAAGGAGGTTAGCCAAAGCCATTACACCAGCCTTAAAATCAGGATTATTTACATCCAAATTGATCAATGGCTCTGCATTTTTAGTTGCACTGTCAATATTTTTTGCATTACCAGGTGTTAAGTTCTTGTATTTTTCAGCATTACCTCCATATTCAAGTCTAACAGCTAAACCAAGAAGCCAGTCAATTGCTTCTTGTCGGTCCTGAATCTTGAAGGGATAGTTAACATCTCTGAGATACTTTTCAAAGGACTTGGGCCAGTCACTGCTGGGGATGTTTCTTATATTACCTCTGTCTTCAATCTTGTAGGGTCTGATTTTCTGGTCTTCAAGCCAAACTATAAAGTTTCTAAATTCTATTTCATCTTTGCAGTTGAAGCCAGCAGGGTTGTGGTAGCTGAGAGCCGTCAGCTTGCGTCGAAGCATGGTGCCTGCTTCTTGCTCGGGTCTCCAGGGGCCTCCGCCGGGAGAGGAGAAGCAAGGTTGAGCAGGCTGCTCAGGCACCGGTGATGAGGCCAGGCACCAGGCACTATGTCTTATTAGTTTATCTTTCAATGAGGCAACTAAGGCCCAGAGGGGTGAAGCACAGTGCTCAAGGCCACACAGTGAGGAAGTAGTGAAGCTGAGACTTAAACCTAGGATGGGCAGATGTGCCAAGTTCTTGCTTTGCCACAATGCCACTCAGCTGAGCACATCTCCCAGGGATAGCCATGACCCACTTATGTGACTGTCCCTGGGCCAAGTCCTGCAGGGGACAGCACCAGTGTACCGCTGTCAAGGACCTGGAGCCCCATGATTGAGGAAGTAACAAAGCCTGTGAGGCAAAAGCACAGAGCCAGACCTGGAGACAGGCAGGGCAGCATGGTCAGGGTCAGGGAGGGTAGCAGGAGAGCACCTGGGCTTACAGTGCAGGGGCATCAGCCACTGAATGCAAGAGGAGGGCTTCTGGGAGAAAGTGGCACCTGAGCCTGGCAGAGGGGAGGGGGTGACTTCCGCAGGTACAGAGAGGTGGGACACAGGTCGTCTCACCTGCGGCCAAGAGCCACACCCTGGATCCACAGCACTGAGCTCAGGACAGGCCCACCACCCTGTGCCCTCTAAGAGACCTGAAAGACTAGGCCAAAAGACATAGATTGAGATAAGAAATAGAAAGCTTCCAACAAAGAAAGGCCCAGGACCAGAAGGCTTCACAGCTGAATTCTACCAAATTCTAAAAGGAGATTTAATACCAGCACATCCAAAACTCTTCCAAAAATCAAAGCTGCAGGGAATACTCCCTAACACATTTTATGGGGCCAGCGTCACCTTGATACCTAAGCCAGACAAAGACACCACAACTAAAGAGATGTACTGGCCAGTGTCTCTGATGAACGCAGAAAACGCTAGCAAATTAAATTTAGCAATACATCAGAAAGACAATACATCACGATAAGGTGGGATGCATCCCTGCCATGTACAGCTGGTCCAACGCATGCAAACCAAGCAATATGATGCCCCATGTTAACAGATGGAAAAGCAAAACCACATGATCATATCAATTGACCCAGAAAAAAACCTTTGACAAAGTTCAACATTCTTCCTTGATTGAAGAAAACCAAAAAAACCCACAAATAAACAAAACCTCTTACTGGTTTAGGTATAGGAAGAAAGTTTTCAAAATAATACAGTCATTTATGAAAAACCCACCATTGACATTACCAGTGGAGTAAAACTGCAAAAAACAAAACCAAAAAACTGCAAACTTTTTTGCTAAGATCCGGAAAAGACAGGGTTGCCCATCTTGCCACTTCTGTCCATAGAACTAGAAGTGCAAGAAGAGCGTTCAGGCAAGAAAAAGAAACACAAGGCATCCAAATTGGAAAGGAAGGAGTAAAACTATCTCTATTAACAGATGACATGATTCTGTAGGTAGACAACCCTAGATATTAAAACTATTAGACCTAATAAATGAATTCAGTGAAGCTGCAGGATATAGAAGCAATACATGAAAACTGAGGCATTTCCATACACAAATGATTATCTACCTAAAAAAGAAATAGAAGAAAACAATCTCATTTATGATAGTAAAACACCAACAAAAAAAACAAACAATAAAAAATAATTTAGAAGGCAAAAAAAAAAATTTAGGAATAAATTTAACCAAGGCAGTAAAAACCCTGCATACTGAAAACTATAAAATTGCAGATGAAGCTGGGGATTTAGCTCAGTGGTTCTGCTGCCTGCCTCGCAAGCGCAAGGTCCCGAGTTCGATCTCCGGTACCAAAAAAAATTACAAATGAAAGAAATCGAAGAGAATACAAATAAATGGCATTCATGTTCATGGATTGGAAGAATTAATATTAATATGTCCGCCCGCCTGCTGCACAAGCACAAGGACCCAAGTTCAATCCCCGGTACCAAAAAAAAAACCAAAACCAAACATGTCCACATTACCTAAAGCAATATATAGATTAAATGCAACCCGAATCAAAATCCCAATGGCACTGTTCACAGAAATAGAAAGTACAATCATAAAAATTTATATGGAACCACTAAAGTCCCAAGTAGCCAAAACAATTTAGAGGAAAAAAATAGTTGGAACATCATACTTCCTGATTTAAAGTTATATTATAAAGTTATAATAATCAAAATATGATACTGCCATAAAAACAAGACACTTAGACCCAGAATAAAGTGCCCAGAAATAAATCCAAATATACCTGATGAACTAAATTTTGACAAGGTCACCAAGATAGTCTTTTCAATCAATTCTGTGGGGAAAACTGGCTTTTCACATGCAAATGAATGAAATTTGACACTTATACTCTATACAAAAATCAACACAAGGCCGGGGATTTAGCTCAGCAGTTTCGCCACCTGCTGCATGAGCGCAAGGATCCAAGTTCGATACCTGGTACCAAAAAAAAAAAAAAATCAACCCAAAATGGATAAAAAGCCTAAATGTAAGACCTGAAATCACAAAACTCCTAGGGAAAACAGATTTAAAAAAAGCTCCTTGATGCTGGCTTTGGCAGTGATTTCTTGGATATCACACCAAACAATCAGGCAAAAATAAATAAATGGGACTACAACAAGCAAAAAGCTTCCGTACAGCAAAGGAGTCAACAGAATGAAAAGGCAACCTACAGATTGGAAAAAATATCTGTAAACCATATACATCTGATAAAGAGCTAATAATACTCAAGATTTATAAAAAACTTATATAACTTAATAGCAAAAAAACCTAAAACCCAATCAAAACCTGAGCACAGACTTGAATGCACATTTTGCCAAAGATGACAAAAATTACCAAGAGGTTTACGAAAAAGTGCGACACCATTAACTGTCAGGGAAATGCAAATCAAAACCACTATGAGATATCAACTTACACCCATTACGATGGCTGTTACCATAAAAACAACAGCTAACAAGTGCTGGGGAAGACATGGAGAAAAGGAGACCTTTGCATGCTGTTGGTACCAATATAGATAGACTGGTGCAGCCACTGGGGAAAACATAATGGAGGTTCCCAGAGAAACCAAAAATAGAATGACCCAGTAAGCATTTTTACGTATATGCCCAAAAAAGATGAAAGCACCACCTCATAAAGGTCTGTACTCTCATGTTTACTGCAGCACTATTCACAATAGCCAAGACATCTGAACAACCTAGCTTCCCATCAGTGGGTGAATGGAGAAAGAATCTGTGGCATAGAGATTCAATGGAACATTATTCAGCCTTTAAAAATATGAGTTCAATCCTTAGGACCTCAGCAAAGGCGAGGGGGTGGGGATCCTGCCATTTACCATAATACCACAACTTAGATGGACATGGAAGACATTAGGCCCAGTGAAATAAACCAGACACAGAAGACAAATAATGCACCAACATCTCACTCATATGTGGATGCTAAAAAAAAAAAAAAGTCAAATATATAGAGATAGGAGTGAAAGTAGTTGCCAAGGTCTGGGTTAGGGAGGAAATGAGAAGGTCACAGGATATTATGTGGTCAATGTGAGGAAGCACAGGGAGGGGAGATCTAATGCACACCATGAGGATATGGTCCCAGTGTCTATTGTATTTGAGACTTTTTTTTTTGGTACCAGGGATCTAACTCAGGACCTTGTGCTTGCGAGGCAGGCGGCAGCACCACTGAGCTAAATCCTTGGCCCTATATTTGAGATTTTTGTTCAATACGTAGATTACAGCTGCTCTTACCACTTGTGTTGGGGTAACTGCCATGGTTTGGATGTGGAGCTGGCCAGTCCTCCCATGTGAGGGAAGGTTGGTCCCCAGTGTGGCAATGTTACCAGGCAGTGGGACTCTTAGAGAGGGGCTAATGGAAGGCTATTGAGGGTGCTGCCCTTGAAGGGACTAAGGTAGTTCTCCAGGAACTCCAGTTGGTTTCCCTAGGATGGGTTGTTATCACAGGGCCCTTCCCATCACTCTGGCTTCTGATCTTGCTGTGTGATTGCTTTCTTGCACATGATCTAGCTATGATGCCATCAGCTATGAAGTGATGCAGCCTGAGGGACCCTTATAGACCCTGTGCAATGCTGTTTGCACTTTCAGCTTCAAAAACTGTGAACTAAATAAACTTCTTTTCTTTATAAGTCACTCAGTCTCAGGTATTTTGTCACAGTCATAGAAAACAGACACAGAAGTTATGTGAGATGACAGATATGTTGATTTATTTCACTATAATAACTATATCTATATCTCTACCTACCTATCTTATAACATCATGCTGTATACCTAAAGATAGTAAAACTTATTTTAAAAAAAAGACTGGGACAAGTCTCTTGCCTCATAAAAAATACTTTTATTCCTTTTCAGGTTTCTTTTATGACCGTTCCTATGGCTCTTGTTACTGGCTTACTTATAAAAGGTTCAGGGTGTCTTAGAAAGACCAGAATGGGGGGTCAGATTGGCTGTATCCTTCCTTACCTCTGCTCCCCACCCTTCCCAAGCCCTGATGATACCTCCAACCCCACAGGTTTGCAATGAAGGAGAGATGACACTGTGACTATCACCCGCCTGACATCATCCTGACCCCTTACACACATATTTGCCCCACCCCATCTTGTGCTGCGAGGCTCAGAAATAATCCAAGGCACCCACTGCTGTGGGTCCTGTGCAAACAGAGCATAAAGAGGCACTGTTACATCAGGTGCCATTGCACAATGAATTTCAGGTGCTGGTGATCCACATCCATGGTGCGCGCGGAGGGGGGGTCAGTTCACAGTGAGCAAGGAGAGAGAGAGGCTCCCCATCCAAATGAGGAGCTGCACATGGCCCTAACCAAGAGCTGGAGGTCTACCTCACCAGGTCCCACAGCTGTCTCAAATCCTGAGAAGAAGCACTGAGAAGAGCACCTTACCCTACATCAGCGATGGCGAACCTTTTAGAGACAAGAGCCCAAAGTGCAACCTCAAACCCACTTATTTATTACAAAGTTCCAA